CTTAATGATTTCACCAGCGTATACAAACAACGGTAGACCACGGGTCCTCTTTCTTAATCCATTGGGACACACGAAAGAAACATCCTTCAAACTCAGGAAATCAGCGACTATTCGAAGGGCATTATTTCGGGATCTTAAGGGATTTAATTGCAGGATTAGGCAGTTGGGTATAAAGTTTAAACTTGATTACTTCCTAGCCGTTAATTAGTTTGTTAGTTTTATTTTGGTTTGTGTCTTGTAAAGCATGTTTCACACGTTCACACATCATCACACCCACGTTTGCACGTCTCACCCATGTTTGCACATATTTCTTCCTTCAAACTGCTGCACTCCGTTAGTATATAATGGAGGTGTTGTTAGGGGGTTTTTTCATCCATTCGGAGTAATGGGTTTTTCCCCCAAATATATATAAAAGAAGCAAGGCAGTTTATATACATATTTCTTCTCCATGTTCATACATTTACATACATTATTGTGTTGATTCATGGTTGTATGATCCGGGTAGTCTAACATTTGGTATCAGAGCAAGGTGGTTTGTAACCATGTCTCAAGACTCAAGTGAAGGTACCAGTGCACACGACCGGGAAGACTCCATTCATCTCAAGTATCCTCTATTAACAAACACGAATTATGCAGCATGGGCTATCAAGATGGAAGTATTCATGATAGCCCAAGGTGTTTGGGATGCAGTAGAGGCAGAAGGTGCTGTAGATAAACGCAAAGACAAGATGGCGTTGGCAGCTATTTATCAGGGTATAAGTGAAGACACCCTTCTCCAACTTGGTGCAAAGAAAACTGCCAAGGAGGCATGGGGAATACTGAGGACTCTAAATCTTGGGGCTGACAGAGTGAAAGAAGTCAGGACTCAAGCACTTTGGAGGGAATTCGATGCTATGAAAATGAGTGATGGAGAAAGCATTGATGGGTATACAGGAAAGCTTCAGATTATCATTACAAAACTCAGAGGACTTGACAACACAGTTGAAGAAGAGCGTGTGGTAAAGAAGATTCTGAGGTCAACCTCTCCTAAGTTCCTACAAATAGCCTCTACAATTGAAGAATTTTGTGATCTAAAGATCAAGAGGGCAGAAGAAGTAATTGGTTCCCTAAAGGCCCATGAAGAAAGGATGATATATGAAGTGAAAGAAGATGATACTGTGTTACTAACACAAGCAGAGTGGAGATTAAAGGAAGAGACTGTATTATTGACTCAAGCAGAGTGGAAGTCAAGAGAAGAAAGTGAAATGCAAAAGAGAAACTTCAGAGATCAGGGAAGTAGTAGAGGAGGAAGGGGCAGAGGAAGAGGGAGAGGAAGAAGCAATTCCTGGGGTCAAACGAAATTTGATAAAAACAAGATAAAATGCTACAATTGTGGGAAAATGGGGCATTTTGCCTCAGAATGCCGTTCAGAAGGAAAGGAAGCTTTGGTTAATGTTACTGAACTAGAAGAATATGAGGAATCTGCTCTACTCATGATTGAGTCATGTGACTTGACTCAATCACATGATCAGAAAGACAAGGAGAAAGCAAACCAAGGGTGGTATTTGGATACGGGGGCAAGTAACCATATGTGTGGAATTAAAAACTGGTTCACAGATATTGATCAGTCAGTTCAAGGAAGGGTGAGATTTGGTGATGGGTCTATGATCAACATTCATGGGCAGGGATCTGTGGTATTTCAGTGTACTAATGGAGAACATCTTATTCTTCAGAATGTATACTACTTGCCAAGACTGAGAAGCAATATCATAAGTATTGGTCAACTGGATGAAACTGGAAGTCAAGTTACAATTAAAGGAGGAGTGTTGAAAGTGTATGATCATAGTGACAGATTGGTGATCAAGGTGGAAAGGCAGCCTAACAAGTTGTTTATAGCAAATTTACAAATTGCTGACAGGGTCTGCCTATTAACTAGCATGACTGATCAAGCTTGGTTGTGGCACGCAAGATATGGACATCTAAATTTTAAATCTCTGAGAATGCTTTCAAGAAAGAAGATGGTGGAGGGGATACCAGACATCACACATGTTGACCAAGTCTGTGATGGTTGTATCATAAGTAAACAGCACAGAAATCCACATCCCAAAGTGGCCAGTTTCAGAGCACAAGAAAGGCTTGAATTAGTTCATGGAGATCTTTGTGGACCCATATCACCACCTACTCCAGGTAACAACAAGTATTTTATGCTTTTGGTAGATGATTTCTCACGTTTTATGTGGATATCACTACTTAAGCATAAAGGAGAAGCATTTGAATCATTCAAGAAGTTCAAGTATTTGGCAGAAAAGGAAGTGACAGGGAAACTGAAGTGTCTCAGAACAGATAGGGGGGGGTGAGTTTATTTCAGTAGAGTTCAAGAACTATTGCAATGAAGAAGGCATAAAAAGACACCTTACTGCCCCCTACTCACCTCAGCAAAATGGGGTAGTAGAGAGAAGAAATCAAACCATCATGGGCATGGCTAGAAGCTTACTTAAAAACAAGAAAGTTCCTGGAAGATACTGGGGTGAAGCAGTGAAAACTTCAGTGTATTTACTAAATAGAGCACCAACTAAGAGTGTGGATGGGGTCACTCCATATCAGGCTTGGTATGATAGGGTTCCAAATGTGAATCATCTGCGTGTATTTGGTTGCATATCCTATGTAAGAGTAGCAGCACCTCATCTGACAAAGTTGGAGGATAGAAGTATCAAATGCATTCTACTTGGATATGAAGAAGGGACAAAGGCCTACAAATTTCTTGATCCAACTAAAGGTAAGGTCATTATAAGTAGAGATGTAATCTTTGAAGAAGATAAATGTTGGGAGTGGGAAGGATACCCTGATAAGGAAAGAAATAATAGTGAAAGTGGGTTCACTATTAGTGTAAGAGCTGAAGAAAGGAGTGACACCCTGCCAAACATCCAAGATGAAGATATGGACACATCAGCCTCAACCTCATCACACAGTTCACCTGTGAGCACACCAAGATCAAGCAGTAGTTCAAATCTCAGTACAGAACATCCTCACTACAGATCACTACAAGAAATATATGATGAAACTACTGAGATAAATGAAGAAGCTGGGCTGTGCTTTCTGTCAATTGAGGAACCTAGAAGTTATACTGAAGCAGCTGGGAGTGAAAACTGGAGGAATGCAATGGCACTGGAGATAGACTCAATACAGAAGAATGGTACTTGGGAACTCTCAGACTTGCCCAAGTCACACAAAGCTATTGGTCTGAAGTGGATTTTTAAATTGAAGAAAGATCCAGAAGGAAGAATTATTAAGCATAAAGCCAGGCTAGTTGCTAAGGGATATGTCCAAAAATATGGAATTGACTATAAGGAGGTTTTTGCACCAGTAGCAAGGATGGAAACTGTGAGAACCCTACTTGCATATTCAGCACATAGAGATTGGGAGGTACATCATCTTGATGTAAAGACAGCATTCCTCAATGGTGATTTGAAGGAAGAAGTGTATGTTCAACAACCTGAGGGTTTTATTGACAAAGGGAAGCCAGACAAGGTATTGAGACTTCATAAAGCCTTATATGGCTTGAAACAGGCTCCTAGAGCCTGGAATGAGAAGCTGGATATGTGTTTGAAGTCACAAGGATTCAACAGATGCATTTATGAATATTCTGTGTATATGAAGAGATCTGGAAGAGATGTTACACTTGTGGGTGTTTATGTGGATGACCTGATCCTTACAGGTTCCAGCACTAAGCTTATTCATCATTTTAAGCAGGAAATGATGCAGGTTTTTGAAATGAGTGACCTTGGGCTTCTGTGTTACTATTTGGGGATAGAAGTGAAACAGAATCAAGAGGCTATCACAATGTGTCAATCAGGATATGCTAAGAAGATTCTTGAGAAGGTTGGGATGGCTGATTGCAACCCGTGTAATATACCAATAGAATCAAGGAGCAAATTTAGCAAGCTGGATGAAGCACCATCTGTGGACCCCACTCTGTTCAAAAGCATCATAGGAAGTCTAAGGTACCTTGTAAATACACGCCCAGATCTTGCATTCTCAGTTGGTATGATGAGCAGATATATGGAAGCCCCTACTACTACACACATGACTGCAGTTAAGCAGATTCTGAGATATATTAAGGGAACTGTAAACATGGGGTGTGTGTTTAAGAAGGGAGAAGACAGTGAGGAGTTGATTGGCTACACTGATAGTGATCTAGCTGGTGATATTGATGACAGGAAAAGTACTACTGGTATCATATTCTTCTTAGGTAACAGTCCGATTACTTGGGTGTCACAAAAGCAAAAAACTGTAGCTTTATCCTCTTGTGAGGCTGAGTATATTGCAGCCACTGGGGGTGCTTGTCAAGCTATCTGGCTCACTAAGCTTATTGAAAGCCTAACTGGGAAAACAGAAATGAAGCCTACGCTCAAAATAGATAATAAGTCAGCCATTGCTCTAGCAACCAATCCAGTGTATCATGACCGAAGCAAGCATATAGACACAAAATACCACTTTATAAGAGAGTGTGTTGAGAGAAAAATGTTGAAGCTGGAGTACACAAGGACAGATACTCAGTTGGCAGACATCCTAACCAAGCCACTTGGGAAGCAAAGGTTCAGTGAGCTACTTAACAAGATTGGAATGAAGACTATAAAGGAGTAATCAAGTTTATGGGGGTGAATGATAAAGTTTAAACTTGATTACTTCCTAGCCGTTAATTAGTTTGTTAGTTTTATTTTGGTTTGTGTCTTGTAAAGCATGTTTCACACGTTCACACATCATCACACCCACGTTTGCACGTCTCACCCATGTTTGCACATATTTCTTCCTTCAAACTGCTGCACTCCGTTAGTATATAATGGAGGTGTTGTTAGGGGTTTTTTTCATCCATTCGGAGTAATGGGTTTTTCCCCCAAATATATATAAAAGAAGCAAGGCAGTTTATATACATATTTCTTCTCCATGTTCATACATTTACATACATTATTGTGTTGATTCATGGTTGTATGATCCGGGTAGTCTAACATCTGGTGCATAGGATCAACAGATCGCATCTTTTGCCCCTTCCGAACAGATTCGAGGATACTTTCACGTCCACCCCAACGCTGGGATGTGCTCCGCCGTCGCCGCCGACCCCCAGCTCTGCCAGAGCTGCCGGCACAAGCTTTGCGTCGTCGACCACTCGAGTCTTGACCTCCACGCCGCCGAATTGAAGGTCGTATGTGTTCATTTGCGAAAGGTGGGTTCCCGCTATCATTTTCTCTTTTTCTTCTTTGGTATGTGGTTCTCTCACTCTGCAGTTTCTTCACAGGAGGTTTTCTTATTACTCGTATGATGATTCCATTGGTCTTCAGTAATGAATCTTAGCTTGGAGATTTTCAAAAAAGCTGCTTTTTCAAAAAGCTATACGGAAAACTGGCTTTAGTAAAGCAATTTCATGCATTGTACAGTGTACATAGGACAGCAACTTGGATCATATCGTATGATCGGAGTCTCTTGCCCAAGAGCATTGGACGGATCACGGGCGGTTGTAATCCGGATCAATGTGTAAAAGAGTTGAAGTAAAACTGAAAAAGGTAGGGGTTATTGAGATATGATCAAAGCTTAACAAAGGAGGTGTGCATGTGTGCATACGTGGCCATGCACACATAGAAGACTTGTCATCTATTTATTATTTTGTTATTGTTAATCCATTTGAATAAGTCTTATGTTGTTAGCATCTTTATAGGAGCTGTTTTAGTCTTTGCATTTGTTAATGGTTGTACGTGGGATATGGCTAAAAAATAGGAAGTAGTTCAGCCATTTTCTAATTCACTTGATCAAGCATTGTAATGGGTATTTATACCCCTAATCCGTATGATAATGGACAAGTTGTTTTTGCATCCATTTCTTTTGTATTTTCCTTGCTTGAGTTCAACACTTGGTATCAGAGCTTAAGGACGATCCAAACACCTGTTTGAACGTCTAACATTGTGAGGAAGAGAGATCACACAAAAAAAAAAGAGAAAATATGCAAGGCTCAAGCAATGGAAACTCTGTTAATCAACTGCCTTTGTTTAAAGGAGTTAATTATCATTTCTGGAGTTTGAAGATGAAAACACTCTTCAAATCTCATGATCTATGGAGTATTGTGGAAGACGGATTTGCAGATGATCAACCGGAGGAACCTGATCAAAATCTGAGAGACAAAAGAAAGAAGGATGCAAAAGCCCTATATCTCATTCAACAAGCTTTGGATGATGATATTTTCCCTCGAATTGCAGCTGCCTCAACCTCAAAAGAAGCTTGGAGTATTCTGAAACAAGAATACCAAGGAGACAAGAAGGTAATCATGGTGAGATTACAATCTCTTAGAAGAGAAATGGAGAATGCACGCATGAAAGATAAAGAAAGTGTTCAGGACTATCTTTCAAGAATTACAAGTTTAGTGCAGCAGATGAAATCCTATGGAGAGGATATCAAGCCTCAGCAGGTTGTAAGTAAGGTTATGAGAAGCCTTACACCTAAGTATGGGCAACTAGTGTGTGCCATTGAAGAGGCCAAAGATCTAGAAGTATACACTTTTGAAGAATTGAAGGGATCCTTGCAAGCTTATGAGGAGAGGGGCAACATGGACTGTGACAAGGTGGAAGAGCAAGCCTTTCAGGTTAGAGGGGAGGCACCTAGAGACCAACAACCTCACTTCCCAGGCAGGGGAAGAGGGAGAGGTAGAGGTGGAAATAGAGGAGGCTATAGAGGAAGGGGCAGAGGTAGAGGTCAATTCAATGGAGGAAGGCAGGAGTCTCACACCAATAACTCTAAAAGCCCTTTCAAATGTTACTACTGTAACAAGCCAGGTCATAAGGAGGCTCAGTGCTGGAAGAAAGAAGAGGATCAGGAGCAAGGAAAGACTGAATCCAAGTCAAATTATGCTGAACAAGAAAATCTATTCTTGGCTCAACATAATTCTGATTATGGTGGCATGTCCATTTGGTATGTTGATAGTGGGTGTTCAAATCACATGACCAGTTCTAAGGACATGTTCAAGGAGATAGATGAGTCAAAGAAAAGTGTTGTGAGGCTGGGAGATGGTAAGCACCTCAATGTAGAAGGGCTTGGTACAATATCTCTGCAAACTGATCAGGGCAAGGTAAAAATTTTACAAAATGTTCAGTATGTGCCTCAACTTGCCCATAATTTGCTAAGTGTTGGTCAGCTAGTGTATGGTGGGTATTCTGTTATCTTTGAGAATGATATGTGTGTAATCAAGGATAAGCAGAATGGTGAAGTACTGATGAGAATCACAATGGGAAAGAATAAAGTCTTTCCATTGGATCTCTCAGACCAGTATGGAAGGGCATTAATTGTCAAAGGAGAGGAAAATGCCAAGTTATGGCATCTCAGACTTGGGCATTTGAATATTCAAAGCCTACAGATGCTCAGCTCAAAGGAGATGGTGTATGGCTTGCCAAAAATTGGTGAATTGCAGCTTTGTGAGGGCTGCATATATGGTAAGCAGACTAGGGGCTCATTTCCCAAAGGAAATACATGGAGAGCAAGTGAATGTTTGGAGTTGGTGCATGCTGATTTGTGTGGACCTATGCAGACTGAGTCATTAGGAGGAAGTAAATACTTCCTAATGATTACAGATGACTTTAGCAGGATGTCTTGGGTGTTCTTTCAGAAGGACAAATCAGAATCCTTTGTGAACTTTAAGAAGTTCAAAGCACTTGTAGAGAAACAAAGTGGGCTAGAAGTCAAAGCTTTAAGAACTGACAGGGGAGGTGAGTTCCTATCTAAGGAATTCACTCAGTTTTGTGAAGAACAAGGCATTAGAAGAGAACTCACAGCACCATACACTCCTGAGCAAAATGGAGTTGCAGAAAGGAAGAATAGAACTGTGGTAGAAATGGCAAGAAGTATGATGAAATCAAAGGGTTTACCAACTGAGTTTTGGAGTGAAGCTGTGGCAACTGCAATATATATACTCAATATCTCACCAACAAGAGCTTTGAAGAATCAGACCCCATTTGAAGTTTGGAGGAGGAAGAAGCCCTCAGTTGGTCATCTCAGAGTCTTTGGATGCATAGCTTATACTCTTATCAACCTAAGAGCTAAGCTAGATGATAAGGCTGAAAAGTGTATCTTCATTGGATACTCTACTCAGTCCAAGGCATATAGGTTATACAATCCTCATACTGGCAAGATAATCATTGGGAGAAATGTTATCTTTGATGAGGAATCATGCTGGGATTGGAAGCTGCAGGATCACCAAAGCAAGGGCATGCAAAGAACCATCAGTTTGGAGGAAGATCATGCAACAACTGAGATAACAGGTCAACCTAGTCCACCACCAACACCTCAGAGTTCACCATCATCTCACTCAACCTCAAGCAGTGATTCACCTCCAAGAAAAGTAAGATCTCTTATTGATATTTATGAATCCTGTGATCTTGCTCTTCTTGCTAGTGAACCTGAAGACTTTGAGGAGGCTGCTACCCATCATGAATGGCAACAAGCCATGAAGGAGGAGATCAATTCCATTCAGAGGAATGATACATGGGAACTTGTGGATCTGCCAAGTGAAAAGAATGTGATAGGGCTGAAATGGGTGTACAGGATAAAGTATAATCCAGATGGCAGCATCTCAAAGCTCAAGGCACGACTAGTGGCAAAGGGCTATGCACAGAAGGAAGGAATAGATTATGAGGAAACCTTCTCTCCTGTGGCAAGGTTTGAAACTGTGAGGGCTGTACTTGCAGTGGCTGCACAAAGGACACTACCTGTGTATCAGTTAGATGTCAAATCAGCCTTTTTGAATGGGGAGCTTACTGAAGAAGTGTTTGTGGAGCAGCCCCAAGGTTTTGAAATCAAAGGTGAAGAAGGCAAGGTGTATAAACTGAAGAAAGCCCTATATGGCCTGAAGCAGGCACCAAGAGCATGGTACAGCAAAATTGACTCATTCTTCCTCAATAATGAGTTTAAGAGAAGTGATAATGAACCTACATTATATGTGAAGAAGAAAGGTATGTCTGACTATCTAATAGTCTGCCTTTATGTAGATGATATCATATATTTTAGTTCTTCACATATAATGTTAGAAGAATTTCAGAATTCTATGAAAAAGGAATTTGAGATGACTGATTTAGGTGTTTTGAAGTATTTCCTTGGTTTAGAAGTTAAACAAGGTAAAGCAGGAACTTTCTTATGTCAAAGAAAGTATGCTACTGATCTACTTAAGAGATTTCACATGGAAGGGTGTGAAATTGCTAAAACACCTATGAATACTAGTGAGAAGCTGCAGAAAAATGATGGTACTGAATATGCAGATGAAAGACTCTATAGGAGTATGGTAGGAGGTCTGAATTATTTGGCAAACACCAGGCCAGATATTGCATATAGTGTGAGTGTTGTTTCCAGGTATATGCACTCTCCCACAAGGCAGCATCTTGGAGCAACAAGAAGGATTCTGAAGTATGTGGCTGGAACTTTGGACTATGGCATCTTATATGAAAGTGTGAAGCATTTTTCACTGCAGGGTTATACAGATAGTGATTGGGCAGGCTGCATAGATGATAGAAAAAGTACTTCTGGGTCAGTATTTGACCTAGGATCTGGGGCAATTACTTGGAGTTCAAAGAAGCAGGATACTGTGGCCCTATCTTCTACTGAGGCAGAGTATATAGCTGTTGGTGCTGCAGCTAAACAAGCTCTTTGGCTGAAGAAACTATTGGAGGATCTTTGTTGTAAACAAGAAGGAAGTGTTCAGGTATGGTGTGACAACATGTCCACTATAGCCATGACTAAAAACCCTGCATTCCATGCTAGAACCAAGCACATAGATGTCCAACATCATTTTATCAGGGAGCTGGTAGCAAAGGAAGAAATTACATTGCAGTTTTGTGGAACTGAAGCTCAGAATGCAGACTTGTTGACAAAGTCCTTAACTCAGAAGAAGCACCAATATTTCATGGAAAGAATTGGTATGGTCAAGCTTGGATCAAGGGGAGGTATTGAGATATGATCAAAGCTTAACAAAGGAGGTGTGCATGTGTGCATACGTGGCCATGCACACATAGAAGACTTGTCATCTATTTATTATTTTGTTATTGTTAATCCATTTGAATAAGTCTTATGTTGTTAGCATCTTTATAGGAGCTGTTTTAGTCTTTGCATTTGTTAATGGTTGTACGTGGGATATGGCTAAAAAATAGGAAGTAGTTCAGCCATTTTCTAATTCATTTGATCAAGCATTGTAATGGGTATTTATACCCCTAATCCGTATGATAATGGACAAGTTGTTTTTGCATCCATTTCTTTTGTATTTTCCTTGCTTGAGTTCAACAGGGGTGGGCACGGTCCGGTCCGGTCCAATATTTGGCCGAACCTGTACTCGTACAGTTACTATTGAAACGGTTCGGTACGGTTCGGTCTTAGACCCAAACCCACTCGGTACGGTCCATTTTCAAACGGGACGGTACCATGCCATACCAATACAAAACAAAATCACTTTTTCCAGGTGTTTAAGAAAAAATTAAAGTTTAGGCATCCTCCAAAAATCCACACAATTTATCAATTTCCATACATCATACCACATTCGTTCCAAATTGATTTGCAAAGTCAATCTTTTTTTGGTCAAATAATTTCTTTTTTATTCACTTAATTAGAATTTCACTGTTTAATTATATTCTTGTTTGGCCTTTCAAAAAAACTACTCCGTACTTCGTATATTTTAATTTGGATTTTGCAACTTTAGAGAGATTTTAATGTGGTTTCTAAATATGTAAATTTTAATTATTAAAAATTGTATTAATTATCAAGAACTTAACATTAACTTTGACAAAAAAATGTTGGCTTTGCAAATCAATTTGGGACGGATGAGGTAATTAATATATTTTAGATAAACTATAGTAGTACAAATTTAATAAACCATACTTTGGTCCGGTTCGGTCCGGTACCGGTTCTCATTTTATGAGAACCGGTCATGGCTTTGTTTGGAACCGGTTCGGTCCGGTTCGGGGAAAAAAAATTTGAGATCCGTTTCAAACCCCGTTTATCGGTCCGGTACCATACCGGTCCGGTTCGGTATCATGCCGGTTCGGTATTTTTGCCCACCCCTAGAAAAAGGTATAGACCCTAACAATTACTCCCTTTTGTTCCTAAAAATATTTCCAATTTTTTATTTTGATCCGTCCTAAAAAGAAATTCACTTTCCCTCTTTGTCAATTTTTATATATTCTTACACATTTCTCTCTTCTCTGCACAACTTTCCACCACACAATACCCACTTTCTTAATTCGTGTGTCATTTGTACTATGGAAGAACTTCTAGGAGTACAAAATTTAAAGTACTGTCATGCATTGTACACTCGAGTCCTGAGCTCCACGCCGCTAATTAGAAGTTTAATAACAACACACTTCATAAATTGTTGAAGACTTCATTACAGATAAGTTTTTGACGAAATTTTAGGACTTTCTTTATCGTTGCATATCACGACAAAAGGGGTCTGGGATAGGGGCAGGAGACATGGGTGCGCCATGCGCCAATGGATGGGTTGCAGGGTCGGGGAGGTTGGGTGGTGGATTGTAGTGGATTGCGCTGATGGGCCAGGTGTGGTGTTGGGCAATGATTTTGCATGGTCTGGGGGTCAACAAATAAAGGGACTGGGAGGTCATTGTTTGGGCGACGGTGGTGAGTTTACTCGCCAATATTACATTATTACTATGTTTCTATGATAGGAATCACCGTGTCAGTATGTCACTATGACTGGAGTCAATGTGTCACTGTAGTCGTAGTCATTGTGTCACTATGGTCGGGGTCACTGTGTTACTAGGGCCAAATTCACTGTGTCACTTTGGCCCGTGGCACTGTGGAAGAGACGGTCATTGGCGGTCCGACGGAGATCACTACATCGGATGTCATTGTGGCGGTGGTCATTGTGGCGAGTTATGTCACTTTCATATAAATTCACTGGAGATTAGGGGTAATTTAGTAAATTCACTGTGTCATCTTTTTAATCACATTTTTGAAATAAAAAATGATCATTTCTTTATTCTCTACTTTTTAGAAATATTCAGATTGGAACCCGTTTAATAATATGACCACAACATTATTTTTAAGAGATATTACCCGAAATAGGACTAAAAGAGTTTGAAAATTCCAAAATAGGACTGTCATGTTTTTATTCCCAAAATAGGACTAATTACTGCCATGTTTTGGCAGTATCAGACTTCAAACATGACAGTATTTTCCAAACTTGGCAGTAATTACTCCTATTTTGGGAATAAAAACATGACAGTCCTATTTTGGAATTTTCAAACTTTTTTAGTCCTATTTCGGGAACTTTCCCTATTTTTAAAAAGTAGGTAATTCATTTTCAAATCTAAGAATAACAATTACTGCGTACTTTGAAAGTATACTAGTATGTGTACCCGTGCGCTGCACGGGAAAATATGTGCTTAAAGTTTTTATTAAATTGTAGGGAAAATAAATTGTATATGAATTCGTCAATTAGTGTTTAAAAGAAAACTTTAATCGAGTATGGATAGAGCTGTCAAAATGAGCGAAGTCCATAGGATTAGCCCATTTCATCTCATTTCACGGTGGATTAGAGTTGTCATTCATTCTTCAATCCGATGAACTCACCAGTTTCGTGGTGCAACTTGCACGGGTTGCAGGGTAAGTGAGTTGACTCATACAGGTTGTGAGTAAACCAAAATATAAACATCTATTTTTTATTTTCATTATCTTCAATATTGATGCTATACTACCAAAATAATTATCAAATATACTTATTAATTTACAACTCTTGTTGAACTATTATTTCTATATATACTAATTATTCAAATAAATTACTCTAGCATTATTTCTATATATGTACCGGAACATTAGATTTGAAAATTATAAATTATATATATAAGGTTGAGTTCAAATGAGAAGACACCTTAACGTGTAAAAAAGGAATTAGAATGAACTTGAATGTTAGATTTATAAATTGTGCATTATTTGAAATAGAAATATGTGCTATCATAAATAAAAAATGTTTTGACATTTTTGTAAAAATTCAACCTTTCTTGTCCGTATAAAGTCTACATTATTTTAACTATAAGTGTATTGTGCACCCCCATTAAAAATAATGTGCTTCGTTTGAGACCATTGGGCAGTTAGACGATCGAAGCGATGAAATTGGAGAGTGCTAACCTATTTAACAACATGAACATAAATTGTGAAGTATAAATAAATATGTGACAAAAAATGAATCTACTTTTAGACACTGATTTAGTAGACCTTGTGAATTAATAAATAGATAAGTAATACTACCTCCGTTCTTAAATAAGTGCAACAGTCAACATTTCACATTTGCCGAGGCACATGTGAAATGAATAGTATAGAAAAAGTATGAGAGCAGATGAAAAAGTAGGAAATAGACGATAAAAAGTAGAAAAAGTAATGGTAATTGAGTACATTTAAAGAAAAATTTACCAAAAAGGGAAAGTGTGGGAGCTTTTAAATACATCCCCAAAAAAGAAAGTGTAATGAACTTTTAAATACAGAGGAAGTAATTGATATGTAGTATAAAATATCCAAATAAGGTAGATTCCGATTTTTAAATTTAATAACTATCCAAATTAATAAGTACTCAGTAATAAGTTCTCAAAAAATTATCAAATAAGGCAGATTTCATTTCATTTGTTTCCATATCAATATGCAATAAAAATAGAATGTAATAAAAAATAGAAGGTATAAAAAGATATTTACATACTCAATAATTATTATATATGATGACATGGCGGGATTATGTGGCGCGCCGTATGCTCTTAAAAAGTTTCTCTTTTATATATATATATTGATTGTAAATTTATTTTTTTGTATACACATAAAGCAAGACTTTCGAAAAAAAGAAACTTTTTTTCAACCACTAATTCAGCCATATCAGTTTTATGTTAACTATCATTATACATGAAATTAATTATCGAAGGATCTAGGAGTTTTTTCCAAAACTAATGTTGAATAAATAAATAAATCCCAAATTAATGTTGGGTTAAAAATAATTCGCAAAATACTGTTCAATTAACCACCGTTAAGAGAACTGTCACTCCAAGTGACCGCTTATAAGTAATGAAAATTAACGCGCGTAACAAGCATGTCACTCAAGAGTCCACCAAATAAAATCCCTATTTTCTTTTAAAGTGGTATAACTTTTTTATTTGTACTTCAATTGTTATAAAAAAAATAGGTTTAAATATGTTTTTAGTCCCTGCAAATATAATGCATTTTGTTTTACATCCCTGCAAAATTATTTTTTTGTTTTTCATTCCTGCAATTTATGTTGATTTTCTTTTTAGTCCATCACAGATGATAACATTCTCCGCTTGACCTCAAAATAACCCTGATTAATAGATTCCCTCAAATTCTTTGTCATGTTATTCAAAAAGTTTTTTTAAAATGTTTTTGAATGTTTTTAATATATATTTTTAAAATGTGAATACTTAGTATTACATTGTTTTAACTCTCATATCAGCCTCAAAAAATTATAAAAGGACAAATTTTATTACCCGAAATAAGACTAAAAAGGTTTGAAAATTCCAAAATAGGACTGTCATGTTTTTATTCCCAAAATAGGACTAATTATTGACATGTTTTGTCAGTACCAGACTTCTAACATGGCAGTATTTTCCAAACATGACAGTAATTACTCCTACCTTAGGAATAAAAAATTTGGCAGTCCTATTTTGGAAATTTCAAACTGTTTTAGTCCTATTTCGGGAACTTTCCCTTTAAGTATTTCTAGCGGATTTATGCAGCTGACAATAACTTTTTTTGTAAGTAGATTGATTTCGTAATCAGAGAAGGACTCAAAACAAAATAGTGCATATTGTAGGGCTGAAAAACAAAAACAAATATTTCACAGGGACCTAAAACAAAGTGTGTCATATTCAGAAGGACTAAAAGTGTATTTAAGCCTAAAAAATATATCAAATTTCATAACTTTTTATTATCTTTCATTTGACACCAATATTGAATATGTAAAACTAAGAAGATAATTTTACACTTAAAAAATCTACTTTTTCAGAGTGATATATCTTTTTTATTTGTACTCCGATTATTACAAAAAATATATCAAAATTCATACTTCTTATTATCTTTCATATCATATCAATCTTGCATATATAAAAATAAAAGCTATACCATTAATTTTTGCAGTTTTGGATCGTTTGTAATTATGCACACTTTAAGAAAAAAGTGACTTTTAAACTGCCAAGTTATTTTTTAATTAAATTTTATGCAATATTGGTACCATACGAAAAAATTTATACTCCGTAACACTTTAAGAGAAAAAAGGTTTTTTAGAAGACAACGATCCAAAACTGCAAAAATTAATAGTATAGTTTTTTATTTTTATATATGCAAGATTCATATCATATGAAAGATAATAAAAAGTTATGAATTTTGATATATTTTTTGTAATAATCGGAGTAGAAATAAAAAAGATATATCACCTTGAAAAAGTAGATATTTTTAAAGTGTATAATTATCTTTTTAGTTTTATATATTCAAGATTGGTATCAAATGAAAGATAATAAAAAATTATGAAATTTGATACATTTTTTGTAACAATTGGAGAACAAATAAAAAAGTTATACCACTTTAAAAAATAGGGATTTTATTTGGTGAGATTCTTGAGTCTTTAATGACATGCTCCTCTCTTGCCTTCTTGGTACGTGCGTTATTTTCATTCCTTATAAGCCGTCACTTGAAGTGGCGGGGCTCTTAAGTGTGGTTAATTGAGCAGTATTTTGGGAAATACTTTCAACCAAACACTAATTTGAGAATTATTTATTTATTCAAAATTATTTTGAGAAAAAACTCAGGATCAAGTTCAGAAACCTTAATACGTAGTATATGTGACTGGATGTAGTCCTTCGTCCTCACCGCCTCCACAGGGAGTCTTACATTCATGTGTCTACACCCCACCCCTACCCCCTACCCCCTAATCCCTCCATTGATCCTAAGATGCGTTCGAGGAGAGGCTCCAATGCGCCCCAAATGGGAATAACTCGTAGCCAATAGGAAAAAACCAGTTAAAAAAATCAAAAAGCCGATGGGGACCGAATTGGGACTGTACCGGAGGGTTCGATCCGCAAATGTCATAGCCAAGACTCAAGAGTCCGGTATTAGTACCTGGATAGACATTGGCTGATAGACATTGGCTGGACGCCTGTTCCTATCACGAACCGAAAAATCCTGTTCTAGCCGCGTGAACCGAATACTCCAACAAGATGGTATATCAAGAATTTTGTGATAAAATACTATCGTAATAAAGTGTGACTATAATAATAACCATAATAATACTAATACTCCGTAATAGATAATAATACGAAAAAAAGTAATAAAAGGAGTAAAGAACCACAATAACAATAACAATATAAATAACAATAACAATGACATTAACAATAAGAGCCCGTTTGGAGACCTCTTTTTTCGGCTTATCAGGCTTATCAGCCAGCTTTTTCACCAAACACGTAACTTTTACTTTTGTGTGCTGAATTGTGTAATAAGCAAAAAAAGTAAGGTTGGAGTTACTTTTCTGGCTGTATTGGCTGAAGTTACTGTAGAGGACTATTTTAGCTATTTTTACATGTAATTTTTTCTATAATTTATTGATAAAATATATTTTTAAAATATTTTTTTCTTGAATCAGCAGAATCGGCCAAAACAGCCACTTCAGCCAGAATTTCATAAATTTCAGCAGAATCAGCCAAAACAGCCGATTTTCGTGCTACCAAACGGGCTCTAATAAAATAAGCGATTGCAGTGCAGCCAATCACTTGAAAACTTACGGAGTACGTAGTTGAAACTAGTGGATGAACAAAGACCAATAAGATTGAGATGATTTATTTAATTATTTTTCATGGAGGAGCTTGTGGACAATCCGGTAGGAGGCGGCAGCATCATGCATAACAAAGAGAACTTCCTCCTCGGAAAAAACTTTAGAATCCCACTTTGGTCGCTGTTTTGCTGAATTACCAGTAGTGAGGTCCACCCCGGCTTCCTCTCCCAGTTTCTGGGACGATTCACACTTGAGAAGCTTGGGGTTTTTCAGAGCCCTTGCAGCGTAATCACCGACCTCAACGGCCCCAATCTCCGAGCAGTAAAACCAGATCGGGCGCCTTTTATGCCCACAGCAGCCAGATGTCACCAAAAATTCATCAGCGTGAGGAAACAATGGCAGACCCCGGGTCCTCTTTTTAAATCCATTGGGACACACAAAAGAAACATCCTTCAAACTCAGGAACGTAGTCACTATTCGAGAGATACATTTATAGCGTCTCATGCAATCCAATTGCAGGATTAGGCAGTTGGATCTGGTGCATAGGATCAACAGATCGCATCTTCTGCCCCTTCCGAACAGATTCGAGGATACCTTCACGTCCACCCCAACGATGGGATGTGCTCCGCCGTCGCCGCCGACCCCCAGCTCTGCCAGGGCTGCCTCCACAAGCATTACGTCGTCGACCACTCGAGTCTTGACTTCCACGCCGCCGATTTGAAGGTCGTATGTGTTCATTTGCGAAAGGTGGGTTCTCGCTATCATTTTCCTCTCTTTCTTCTTTGGTATGTGGTTCTCTCACTCTCTGCAGTTTCTTCACAGGAGGTTTAATTTTATTATTACTCGTATGATGATTCCATTGGTCTTCAGAGTTAGATGGTGTAAATTCACCGTGTCAAATCTGTATTCACGTTGGCTTTAAATAGCCATGCTTACAATAGGTTACAACAATTGTGATCCGTATAGTTCGGTAACTAATAACCGTATACATGAGGATAAATATGAATAATATTAACTAGGTACAATGTATGTGCAGATAAGTGTAATGGAGCCGTGTATACTGCATATGTCCAACTAATCATGCGTAGAGTATGGGATACTCTAACACGCCCCCGCAGTCTTAGCGGGCAAGGAGCAAACGCTAAGACTGTCCCGAAATTCAGTGAATAAACACCGCGGGAGCCCTTTAGTGAAAATGTCTGCATATTGAAAACGTGAAGGAACATGAAGAACACGAATGCTACCACGGGCGACATGTTCACGTACAAAATGGATATCCATCTCAATATGCTTGGTACGTTGATGTTGAACGGGGTTGGTGGAAAGATAGATGGCACTAATATTATCACAGTAGACAACCGAAGCCTTGGATAATGGATGATGGAGCTCAAGTAATAAATTACGAAGCCAACAAAGTTCTGCCACGGCATTAGCTACACCGCGGTATTCGGCCTCGGCACTCGATCGAGAGATGGTAGGTTGGCGTTTGGAAGACCATGACAGCAGAGTATCACCCAGAAAAATACAATAACCTGATGTTGAACGGCGGGTATCGGGACAGCCGCCCCAATCGGCATCGGAGTAGGCAGTCAAAGAGGTAGCTCGGGATGGAGAAATGTGAATGCCGAGAGAGAGAGTGCCCTTAATATAGCGAATAATACGTTTGAGTGCATGAAAATGTGGTTCCCTCGGGTCATGCATAAATAGACAAATTTGTTGAACCGCATATGAAATGTCCGGCCGAGTGAACGTGAGATATTGAAGCGCACCGGCCAAACTACGGTAAAGAGACGGGTCGGTGACAGGAGGACCCGTAAGAGAGCTGAGCTTCGCCTTGGTGTCTACCGGCGTGGCAGACGAATTACACGTTAGCATGCCAGCTCGAGCCAGGATCTCAGAAGCGTATTTTTGTTGTGACAAAAATAAGCCACCTGCATGAGGAGTAACCGAAATGCCAAGAAAAAAACTGAGGGGTCCGAGGTCCTTAATGGGAAATTCAGTAGCTAATTGAGATACTAGTTTATCAACTAAGCCCGGGGAGGAGGCAGTAAGCACAATATCGTCAACATAAAGGAGAAGGTAAGCCACCTCAGTGCCATGATGAAAGATAAATAAAGAGTGGTCAACCTTGCTGTGAATAAACCCAAGAGTAGAAGCATAAGTAGCAAACCGGTGATACCAGGCCCGAGGAGCCTGTTTAAGACCATATAAGGACTTTTTAAGGAGGCACACATGTGAGGGCCGCGAAGAATCCCGGAAGCCAGGTGGTTGGTGCATGTAAACAGTTTCAGCAAGATGTCCGTGAAGAAATGCATTGTTAACGTCCAATTGACGTATTGGCCATGAATGAGAGAGAGCCAAACTGAGAACCGTACGAATAGTGGCCGGTTTAACCACCGGGCTAAACGTTTCATCACAGTCAAGACCCACTTGTTGAGATTTGCCATTGACCACTAAGCGTGCTTTGTGTCGTTCAAGACTGCCGTCAGACCTGTATTTGTGCTTAAACAACCACATACAACGGATAATATTAGCATTAGTGGGACGAGGGACTAACTCCCAGGTCTTGTTATTAATAAGGGCCATATACTCGGATATCATGGCAGCCTTCCAGTTGGAATCTTGAAGAGCCGCTAGAGGGGATTTGGGTATAGGTGAGGGAATAATGGTGGCTGGGGTGTGGGCTAAAAGATTCAGGCGTTGGGGAGGACGAATTGTGCCAACTTTACTACGTGTGAGCATATGATGGTGTGAGGTGGTGACTGGGGCAGGAGGAGGATTATTTTGGTCTGGAGTGATGGTTGGTGGAGTTGTCATGGGGGGAGGCGTGGCAGTGGGATGAGTGGGAGGGGACATTAGGTGATGGGCAATGTATGGGTGCAGGGAGTCAGTAGCTTTATCAAAAGGGGTCAATTGGGAGGCAGATTTATGGTTTGCAAAAGGAAAAATATGTTCATCAAATGTTACGTGGCGTGATATGTGGATTGTGTGAGTGGTAAGGTCAAGACACTTGTACCCTTTGTGTTGAGATGGAAAACCAATAAAGACGCAAGGGAGAGACCGAGGTTGGAGTTTATGAGAAGTTGGTATTAATGGGTAACAAAGACACCCAAAAACCCGAAGGTGATTATACGTGGGTTGCCGGTGATATAATAGGGATGTGGGGGAACGAAAATGGAGAATTCGGGATGGGAGAATGTTATGAAGATACACCGCTTGGAGGACCGCATGCGGCCAATATTGTGGGGGGATAGAGGTGTGGAGAAGAAGAGTGCGGCTGATGTTATTAATGGTTCGTATTGTACGTTCAGATTTTCCGTTTTGAGGAGAAGTATATGGGCAAGAAAAACGAAAAATCATGCCATTATTAGCACAAAATTGGTGAAACTGAGAATTATTGTATTCTCGACCATTGTCACATTGTAGAGTTTTAATACATCGTCCAAATTGAGTGTGAATAAACGTATAAAATTGATGAAAAACAGAGAATACTTCAGATTTAGTACGGAGAGGATAAATCCATAAAAAATGTGTAAAGTCATCAAGGAACAATACATAATATCGGTGACCTGTGGAACTTACGATAGGGGAAGTCCAGACGTCACTGTGTATGATGTCAAAAGGAGCCGTGGTGTACGACAAAGAAGAACTAAATGGTAACTTTATTTGTTTGCCTAACTGACAAGAATGACATAAATTGTGACTAGAGGTATTATTACATGAGAGTAATTTATTTGTTCTAAGAGACTGAAAAATATGAGATCCAGGGTGCCCCAAACGGTTGTGCCACACGTCGGAAGCAACTGCACTGTATGCATGATGAGTGGGAGACTTGACAGGAGACACACAAAGAGGGTACAAGCCGCCTTGACTGTTACATCGCATTAGAGGAGCTCGGGTTCGAAGGTCCTTCACACAAAAACCATACGGGTCAAATTCTACAGATACAAAGTTATCAGTAGTAAATTGACGTACAGATATAAGGTTTTTAACAAGAGTGGGGGTGTGAAGAATAGGTGATAAAGTAAGAGGGGGTAATGGGTTGGGAAGAGTGGCCTGACCATGACCCAAAACTGGAAGAGTGTGACCATTACCAACCATGATACGAGGATAGGAACCCGTATTAATAAAAGACGAGAGAGTACCTGCATCCGACGTCATGTGTGTGGTTGCGCCGGTATCCATATACCAACCATCATCCGGTGGATTTAACGTGAGAGTCTGCATGGCCGAAGGAAGAGAGGTACTGCCAAAAGAGTATTCTGGGGTAGCCATGTGAGCATGTTGTGGACGAGGTCCAAGGATTCCGGCCGATGGGTTGCGAGGTGCTGGAGAGAAACCCGGTGCCGTAGGGTATGGGCACGGAGGCATCTGCCAGGACATCCAAGGATTCCAAGGAGACTGGAACCAAGGAAGAGGAGACCCAGGTGACCAAGGCTGAGGAGGTGACGGTATAGGGGAAGAACCATTGGAAGAGCGACCACGTCCACGGCCGCCGCCACCTCGAGTGCGGCCAGAGCGGCCACCACCCCGAGGGCGAGAACTGTACGACGGAGCTGGGGTGACTGTGGAAGCAGTCGGGGCCGCCGGAGTCGCAACTAATGCAGTGGTGGGGGTATCAACATGTTGGGCCCGGCGAGATTCGTCCAGAGTGAGCATGGAGCGGGCAGTGAAAAAGGACGGTAATGGAACCTGTTGTTGAATAAATGACGCCACAGATTCAAATTGGCCGTTGAGACCGTTGACTAGGCGCAGCACTAGACGCCGGTTATCCACCGGAGCACCTACATTAGCCAGATCATCGGAGAGAGTTTTCAGGGTCCGACAGTAAGCATCAATGGACGAGAATTGATCCAGTCGAGTATTGGAGAACTGGTTTTCAAGGTGGATCGCCCGGGTGTGTTTGTTGTCGAGGAAGATGTCCGTAAGACGGTCCCATGCCGCCTTAGCCGTAGAGTTTGGTTGAATGATGGTGTGCAGCAAGTCGTTTGAGATTGACCCGTATATCCATTGAAGGACATTGGCATCGAGGCGAGTCCACAGTGCTGGGTCGTCGGCAGAAGCAGAGGAGTCGGAGGTTGAAGATGATGCTGCGGATGGAGTATCAACAGAGGGTGGGAGGATGTGATCAATGACCTGATATGCACGTGCTGTGATTTTGAACAGCTCAGACCATGTAGAGTACTGGGCGTGTTCACTATCTAGGGTAATTGGAATAAGGTTCTTGATATTAGTGACGGCAAGAGCTGGGTGAAAATGAGATTTGGAAGGGGAAGACATGGTGATGGGAGGAAGAGGGGATCGCTTGGGCTCTGATACCAAGTTAGATGGTGTAAATTCACCGTGTCAAATCTGTATTCACGTTGGCTTTAAATAGCCATGCTTACAATAGGTTACAACAATTGTGATCCGTATAGTTCGGTAACTAATAACCGTATACATGAGGATAAATATGAATAATATTAACTAGGTACAATGTATGTGCAGATAAGTGTAATGGAGCCGTGTATACTGCATATGTCCAACTAATCATGCGTAGAGTATGGGATACTCTAACATTCAGTAATGAATCTTAGCTTGGAGATTTTCAAAAAAGCTGCTTTTTCAAAAAGCCGTACGAAGAACCTGCTTTTTGTAAAGCAATGTTATGCATTGTACAGTGGACATGGGACAGTAACTTGGATCGGGTGATCGGATCTCTTGCTCAGGAGCATTGGACGGATGGGTCCGGACCCCTTCGTCCCAAAATAATTTTCTTGTTACCTTAACACAAGTTTTAAAAAAGTTGCTTAAAAGGTAAAAATTGTGATAGAGATTTGAGTAGATAGAGAAAAAGTGAATTGATATGAGTCACATGTTATAGTCAATAGAGGAAATGAGACAATTGTTTTGGAACGGACCTAAAAAAGAATGTAGGAAAGTTATTTCGGGACGGAGGAAGTAAATATTTTATAGAACCCCTTCTATCTTTCGATTTATTTAATTACAACACGTTTGGTAAATCGTATTTTTAATAGGTTTTCGATCACTGTTTTTTATTTCATGCATTGAATTGTATATGAAAAATGAGTAATTTTAAAGTTAATTCTCTGACTAAATTGTGTATAAAAAAATAAGTAAGAACTGAGCATAGTCATCACATAGAGTCTTTGTTTGTGTAGTTTCTCAGTTTAAATTACTGGTGTTCTAGCTCGATGTGATCATGTGAAGTCTGCTTTTCTTAAGTGTGAATTAGAAAAGGAGGTGTATGTCTCTCGGCCAGAGAGGTATGCACTTCATTGTGAAAAAGGAAAAGTTTATAAGACGTAAAAAGTGCTTTATGGGCTAAAGCAGGCTCCACGCACATGGTTTAACAAGATTGATGATTTTTTTTCAATTTGAATTCGAGAAAAGCATGAATGAGACAACTATTTATGTGATGTAGAATGGTAACCACTTTCTAGTGGTCTGTTTTTATGTCGATGACATAATTTATATAGGTTCATCTCAGTCCATGATTGATAAATTTTGATACGCGTGTAATTTCCGTGTGTATGTTTACGTTTTTAGTTAGTTTTGGTTGTTTAATATTTCGGAAATTACACACTTTTGGTGTAATAGTTATGTTTGTTATTTAGTTGTAATTCATTTTGATTAGGATCATTCTGAGCTTAAACAGGTCCAAGATCAATCAAATGATCATTGGTGAAGGAAGGTGCATGACGTGCACTTGTCGTGAGGTGCACTCAAAATAAATACAATACAACACTAATACGTAATATAGTGACGTAAGGTTCGTATCCGCAGGGAAAGGAATACTTCTCTTTTTAATTAACTAGTAACAAAGGGGGGTTTTAGATTTGATTTGATTTAATTAACACTAAGATGAATGACTTAAATGAGTTTAATTAATGAGAAGAATACTTGGCTTTGCTTTTATCCACTTAATGAAATGTTCGTCGATCCCAGTTATATCTTTAACTATCTTCCTATCGAATACTCAATCGAGGAGTATATCCAGTTCATCGAGGGTAGTTATTAATAACGAGAAGCGTTCATTAATAAAACTTACTACCGAGTCAATATAGAACAAGCGCCGTATATTAACTTGATAGTAGCAATAAAATCAAGATGAAAACGATTAAGATTGATAACCTCAACACAAGCGGTTTATTGGTTTAATCAATATAATTAATTCCCCTTGGCTTATTAACCATGAGAAGCATGCATTAACAACCCAAGTTTACTACCGTGAAAGGACCGAATTAATAACAAGCGTATTAACCGACCGATTCTAGTAATAATTAATATGTAGAACAAGACTAGTTGATACTTTAAGTAATGCTCAATATATAAATATAGAATAAGAATAGGAAGTAATTAATATTCAAGGAAGAAGATTAGAGAAAATAACTCACAACTTACAAATCATTAAGCTTCAAAGTAGCAAAACCAAGATGGAAGAGTTTAGCTCCTCATTTGGAGACTAAACATGATAAAAATATAAAGAAAGAACTTGTCTAAACTGAGCTTAGAAGTATATAGGAATTGGTCATTTATTGTGGAGGAAATGGGGTGTATTTATAGGCTTTTTGGGCTTGCAGGGTCATGTACCCGATCGGGTATATTGGGTACTCGATCGGGCCTTCAGTTGCTTCGCGGAAGCTGGAAAAATATGGGCATACCCGATCGGGTATGTCGGCTACCCGATCGGGTATAGACACTAGATCGTGGTTAAAATCTTCTCTGCATGTTGCCTTGTTCGCGGATTTATCCGATTTGATTTTTCAGCAACTTACCCGATCGAGTATAGGGTATACTCGACCGGGTACAACACCAAAAATCAGGATCTTCATTTTGTTTTGGAATTTTTGCACCTTCCTTCCACTTGTGATGTTCACCAATGGTCTCTAGAGTGGTCTTGGACCTGTTTGAGCTCAGAACAAACCTAATCTAAACAATTTACAAACATTTTACAAACTAAACTATTACACCAAAAGTGTGTAATTTCTAGAGTAACAATCACTCAAAACTAATCAAAAACACAATTATAAACATGGAAATAACATGAATGTCAACTCCCCCACACTTAGTTTCTTTACTCGACCTCGAGTAAAACCAAATGTTTACATCGTGTTCATCACAAGATCATGAGTTCATAGAGAGGAAGAAATAAGAAACTAAAACCACCAAGTATAGTGAATGAAGTTACAAAACAACATTTCCTTGGGTTTAACGGTCTTCTATGCTTCCTATTTCTTCTTTTTCTCATCTTTTCTCCTCCTCCTCCTCCTCCTCCTCCTCCTCCTCCTCCTCCTCCTCCTTCTTCTTCTTCTTCTTCAAGAGATAGTGTCCTGCAAAATAAAACAAATTTTTCTCTCATATCTCTCATTTTGCCTAGGAGCCTTTTCAGGGTTTCATCCTAGCATCTCTTTTCTTTTCCTTTCCTTACCACTCACTCATTATTTTTTTTGTAAGCCCTTGTTGCTTAGATTGCCCTTTTGGGTTTTCAACCTAACTAGCATTTCATTTCTTTCTTTTTTTTTTTGTGTATGACTAAAACAAGAAAATAATGCTTAGTACAAGGTAGAAATAAAGGAGTGTACATACCAAGAAATCCCTCTTCCTCCCCCACACTTGAAGCATGGCACTATCCCTAGTGCCCGCCTTCGCCACCATAGTAGCCTCCTCCAAAGCCGCTTCCGTGCATGTCATCACCGCCTCCCTCGCCCATGGTAGTGTCCCCGCCATCATAACCACCCATGCCGGAACTAGAGCTGCCAAAATTACCCCAATCGGGGGGGTTATACCAAGAAGGTGCCGGTGGTGGTGAGGCCATAGATGCAAACCCGCCAAGTTGGGACATGTAAGAATATGTCGGCCCATACATCCTCCGGTAGTCTTCCTCGTATCGTTGCATGTCGGCCGCCCGTTGTTCCTCCAACCTTTGAAAAGCCAACCGTTGCTCCTCCCGATATGCATCAAACCGCCGGTCTCTTTCTTGTTGCTCGTTCCGGTAGTGGCCTATCTCTCCTTGAAGTTGGGTGAATTGCTCTCCCATCTTTGTGTAATCAAGGCTCATTGTTTGGAAACCGGTTAAGAGGGATTGTTGACCCGCCAAGAGTTGTTGGAAGAAGTCTTGTGGTGGCGGGTTTTGGGGGAGGTCGGGAATATCATGTTGGACATGTTCATATCCCTCTTGGTGCTCGGGTTGCTCCGGTTGGGGGTTGGGTTGTTCGGCTTGGTCGGCTTAAGCTTGGAGGTGAGGTGGAATGTTGTTGGGTAGGAGGTAATGTGGAATGTGGGCAGGTTCCATCTTATACCTAAGTCTAGGTAATTCATCACAAGGGAGGGGGAAGTATTTGACCGGTTCGGGGTACTTCATGTGCCATCTATATCGTTGGTTCCCATTGTGGTCTTTGTTACCCAAAGAGATCAATTGTGCATTGGATAACCATCCAAGATGCATCAATGAGTCTCTAGAAATTGTGGCATTATCCACATAGCCAAATTTGGAAGCCAAATGCATGATGACTCCCCCTAAGACAATGTTCCCCCCTTTGGTGATGGCCTTCTCTAGATGATCCCAAATCAAGTTGCAAATGTTGAACTCAACGGGATTTCGGAAGAGAGCAAGAGTGAGAATGGCTACATCCCCTATCCGAGTGTGGTGGTTGTTGGGCGGCCAAGCAAGGAGTTGCATAAAAATTTTAGGAAAATTCGGAGAAGGGGATGTTGCACGTGACTTATGTAAAGTTGAGACGTGCTAAAATTCCTTTCTCCGGTCATTTTGCCCCAAAGATTATATGCATCCGTAGTGTTATCCGGAATTTCCCTTTCATGTGGGAATCGGAGCCCGAAGTGTTCGGCAAAATCACGTCTCGTTATAGTGTATTCGGTTTTCATCAACCGAAACGAGAGTGTATCATCATAGAAATGATTTTCATCCAACACAAACTTGGCCGAACTCAAAAATTCATAGATGACCCTTTCATTACAATTATATTGCACATTAAAAAGCAAGCTCATATGCAATTCATCAAACAACTCTCTCATGCCATCCAACAAACCTAGTGAATTAAGAGCTTCATGGCATAAAAAGCGAGAAGGAATGACTTGCCTTTTTAGAACGGCCACAAATCGCTTCCGATGATCCCCCGGGCCAAATTGAACATCCTCATAGCCTCGGATAGGTCCCCTTGAGTTAGAGTTCTCCGGTTGGTTCCTCTTTGGTGCCATTTTTGAGTAGATAGGGAGCTTGGGTTCGGATTTGGGGTCTAGGGGGTAGGGTTTCGGTTTTTTTTGAGTTATTGGGAGAGGGTGAGTTTGATGGGTATGGTATTGTAGAGGAGGGTGAGGGGAGGGTTTTGGTGGTGGTTTGGGTTGATTTGGTTGAGATATGAGAGAGTAATCAAAGCTTGAAGGTGTGAAAATGGAGGATTTGGGAGAGGGGATTCGAATTTTGGGATTTTAGGGAAGAAGAATGGTTGGATTTGGCCTTTGATTCGCGTTTAAAACCCGTGTACCCGATTGGGTACCCCGATTACTCGATCGGGTATACCTCAGTTTGTTCTTGTTTCGGGATCGGGCTTGATCGAGTATACCCCATACTCGATCGAGTTTTCCTCGCCGTAGGATTTTCC